CCACGGGCTGGGGGGGGGAGACCCTTACCTCTTCCACCTCGTCAATCCGCGCGGAAAAGTTCTTTGTGAACTCGTATATATCATCCATTAGCCCCAAAGGCATGTCCTGGGTGAAAAGACAGAGAAAAAAGGCCAAATTAGGAACAGAGAATTCCCCACTATGAGGATTGTGGAACCATCTTCTTTCCCGGGGGACGGATTTCCCGGGATCAAGAGATGGAAACGACACACCACAAACCGGGAGCCAAGCGACGGGGCAAAGACCTTGGCCCGACTAGAGGATTTTGAAACGCGGCTTTGCCATAATTACATTTCATGTGCTAGAGAGCTGTCTGTACGAAAATTTGCTTCCTGCTCTAAAGGAACCAGGGGAAGAGGAAGCTTTGAGCTGGTGGGGCAGGATGTTAACGGCGGTTCTGCCTTAGGTGGCAAAAAGCTTTGGGTCACCCTGGCTGAGTTCAATTCCAGGGCTAAATCACCGACTCGGGCTCATACAGAACGTTCCCGATACTGCTGGTATGTCTTTCTTCTCTTTTTTTGGCATGGAATGACAAGAGGAGGGTCTGCCCAACGGCCGAAGGGTTTTTCTCCCGATAAAGTGGGGCCCCTGGCCTAGTTTGAAGCTCATCTGGACAGGATCCTCGTGGCGCAGCGAGTAAAGGGCAGTCCCGCCATCAAGCTCACCACCCACGTTTGATCCCAGCGTGCTCAGGTAGCCGGCCCGAGGTGGACTCAACCTTCGTCTGAGGTCGGTCCATGGAGTACCCAGTGGGCCAGGGGCGGGGAGGCGACGTGTAGCCGGCATAATTAAATCATAAACCACCCAGAGAGAGAGAGAGAGCTTTAAGCACAATGGGATATATTCACCATGCCTTGCTTTTTATTTTGAGTTGTTGTGGCTAAATCTGAAGGGCCTCATTCAGACTGGTGCCTGGGTACCTAGAAGGCATGGCTGTTCCCAAATCAACCTGCCCCTTTGCTCATCCTCCTTTGTGGGGTTCTTCGGTAAATTGGGACTGGGTCCCCACCCACGGTGTAGGGGGCTTTCCAGATGAGGTTATGGGAATAAACCTTGTATTTTTGGTGTTTATGCAGAACTAGGCATAGATTATAAGCTCTCAGCCAGCGTCCAACTCCTCTTTGAAATTCAGAAGCATCAGCACCAAGAAAATCTCCCTTCTTTGGACTACCATTCCCATCAGCTCCTAGAGCATCCTGGGACTTGTAGTCCAAAAGATCACTTTTTGAAGCTTCAACCTTCCTCCCGTCCACTCCCCCTCCTGGCATCCTGGCTTGCGGAGTCCCATCATCCACAGCCAGATGGATCTCACTATGCAGAGCACCTGTGTCTGGTCCAAAGAAAGCCAGCTTTTACTCACCTGGTGCACCCCTCCTGGACGGATATAAGCAGCATGCATCCGGGCCCCGGAAACCCGCTCGTAGAATTCAAACATCTGCAGCGAGACGACAAAAAAAGGGAGGTCCTTTCAGTGCCACGCAGAGGAGTCCAGAAGCGTGGGGGCCACCATGGAGAAGGCCCTGCTTCTTGTCCAGACCCATAGAATGCCTCTGAATGATGGATCGGGGGGAGCTGCCTCGTGTGCCTCTCACCCTCCCGCAATTCACTCCGACTCTGGTTTGGAACCAGAATGGAAAACTACGGCTTGGAACCTCGATACCTGGCAGAATGCGTCCTTCCAATAAAATCTGGCTGTCGTATATAATCTTCCCAGACTGAGCAGGTGGGACTGTTAACCCCGAGAGAAAGCCCGGAAAGAGGAGACCAAAAACACAGCCTTCTCGGCGGTCGCTCCTCATCTTTGGAAAAAGCTCCCGCCCAAAAATTTGCCTGGCCCCTTCAGTGGGAATTTCCAAACCATCATTGAATGCATGGCTTTTTAGGCAGGACTTTCCAGCATTGACACCTTCTTAACACAGTGGTTTATAGACAGAATACCGTATTTTTCCGTGTATAAGACTATACTTTTGTCTAAAATCTTTAGCCTAAAAATTGAGGGTCATCTTATACACTGAAGTTCGTTGATGAGAAAACAAAAATAAGTGGAGGGGAAAGCAGGGATCAAAGCGATCCTGCAGGGCTTTGATCCCTTTCCCCCTCCACTTGCTAAGCCCCATTTATTTTTCTTAATTTTGGATTAGAAAAGTGGGGGGCGTCTTATACACAGAAAAATTCGGTATCTATACCCCTGCTAGCTACGTAATGCTCTAATTTCTTATTCTCATTTTGAAGATGGAAATGCAAAATTCCACCCCGGTAGGGCCTTTTTCACTGCACTTTATCCAGTCATCTCCAGGCTGACCAGACGTTACCCTACCTTTTCTCTCTCCTCAAACATCCAGAAGAAGGGCGTCATAGCCCCAACGTCCAAGGCATGGGTAGTGACGGCCATGATGTGGTTCAGGAGACGCGTGATTTCGGAAAAGAGAACTGCCAAGGAAGCAGGGAGAGGGCTCAGCCATGGCAAGACAGAGAAACAGAAGAGCGCACAGGGATGAGAACAACGGGACACACTTAAGTTTTAAAAACTGGGTTTTTACAATTTAAATCATGAAAACAAAATCAAATTTTTAAAAATCGTGATTTAAATGAAATTCTCTCCGACTCCCTTCGCCGCGCATTTCGCTAGAGTCGTGAGTTACAGCCACTGCTTCCCGGCCCACGAAAAAGCTGTTCACCCACCTCGGATCCACTGAGCTCTCAAGGGTGGGCGGATGTTAAGCAGCTTCTCCACCGCTAAGGAGTAGGCCTGTTCATTGCACATCATGGAGACGTAATCCAGCCGGTCGAAATAGGGCAGGGCCTGAGGCAAAAGGGAGAGGTGAACAGGGACGGATCCACAATCAAGCGCCCTCTGGGGACGTTGCAAAGTTTAAGCAGAAAGACATTCTTATGGGGCTTAACAGCTCTGAGTGTAATGATTTTTGGAAACCTCCAATAAACAACACACAGCACTACTGGGCAAAAACTTTAAAAAACTGTGACAGATTGGCTGAAATCCTGTTGCTTAGTGTAGTATTCAGAAGAAGGCCGAGACTTGGAAGGACAGAGGTGAAGGAATTAGAAAAGATTGTCAAATGTAAGGATGTTTCCCTGAAGATCAAGACCCTCCACGCTCTTGTATTTCTAAACAACACACAGCACTACTGGGCAAAAATTTTAAAAAACTGTGACAGATCCTGTTGCTTAGTGTAGTACTCAGAAGAAGGCCGAGACTCAGAAGGACAGAGGTGAAGGAATTAGAAAAGATTGTCACATGTAAGGATGTGTCCCTGGAGATCAAGACCCTCCATGCTCTTGTATTTCCAATCACCACACACGGGTGTGAAAGCGGGACAGCAGAGAAAGCAGACAGATGGAAAAATGGGTTCGTTTGACATGCGGTGCCTGAGGAGAGCTTTGGAGAGACCCGGGTGTGAAAGCTGGACAGCAGAGAAAGCGGACAGGTGGAAAAACAGGTTCGTTTGACATGCGGTGCCAGAGGAGAGCTTTGGAGAGACTCAGGACTGCTAGAAAGACGAACTCTTGGGTCCTCGACCAAATCAAGTGTGAACGATCTCTGGAGGCAAACAGGTTGAAGCCGAGGCTGTCCTGCTTCGGGCACATCCCGAGAAGGCAAGATTCTCTGGAAAAGATCATCACGCCAGGAAAAGTCAAAGACAGCAGGAAAAGAGGAAGGCCCAAGATGAGATGGACTCTTGGGTCCTCGACCAAATCAAGTGTGAACGATCTCTGGAGGCAAACAGGTTGAAGCCGAGGCTGTCCTGCTTCGGGCACATCCCGAGAAGGCAAGATTCTCTGGAAAAGATCATCATGCCAGGAAAAGTCGAAGACAGCAGGAAAAGAGGAAGGCCCAAGGTGAGATGGGCAGACTGCCTAAAGGAAGCCACAGGCTTGGGTTTGCAGGAGCTGAGCCAGGCTATCGAGGACAAGACATTCTGGAGAGGGCTCCTTCATAGAGTCTATATGAGCAACAGGATCTCCGCCATTGGGACACGTGGAAAGCTGACTCTCCAAACCCTTCCTGATTCAACAGGCCTACTCTAGCTCAGCCGGCTACCCTATGTAACAGGATCTCGGCCATTGGGACACGTGGAAAGCTGACTCTCCAAACACTTCCTGATTCAATAGGCCTACTCTAGCTTAGCCGGCTACCCTGAGCAACAGGATCTCGGCCATTGGGACACGGGGAAAGCTGACTCTCCAAACCCTTCCCGATTCAATAGGCCTACTCTAGCTCAGACGGCTACCCTAAGAAACAGGATCTCAGCCCATTGGGACACGTGGAAAGCTGACTCTCCAAACCCTTCCTGATTCAATAGGCCTACTCTAGCTCAGCTGGCTACCCTATGTAACCGGATCTCGGCCATTGGGACACATGGAAAGCTGACTCTCGAAACACTTCCTGATTCAATAGGCCTACTCTAGCTCAGCCAGCTACACTAAGCAACAGGATCTCGGACATTATATTAAGGTGTGTATTTAGTTGTTCAGGGGATTGACTGCTCCCAGATCCTAATCTTGAGGCGAAATCAGGCCGACTCTCTTATTTCCAGAAAACAAATCCAGCAGGGCTTAACCTGGAGGTAGGTCTTGTACTCTATCAGCTTCTCTGTGCCCCGGTGAAGGAGGCCGATGTGCGGGTCGCACTTGGTCACGTTTTCCCCGTCCAGCTCCATCACCAAGCGCAAGACGCCGTGAGCGGCCGGATGCTGAGGCCCGAAGTTCATAGTCAGGTTGGAAACTTTTTGTTCCTTGGGAGGATCGATATCTGTCGAGGCCAGAACAGAACAGCTGAGATAAACCGCTTGTAAGAAGAGCATGCATGCAGGCGCGTGGGGGGAAAGTATAGAGGGCAAAGACGAAAGGTGCACAGATATTTATTTTATTTCAAATAGATCTATCCCGCTTCTCTCCTTAAAAAGAAGCCAAAGTGACGGGCATCGTTACAAAGACGATGTTTGAAAGCTTTAAAAAGTAGATATACAAATATTTAGGAAGACTTCAACAAGTATTACAGTAATAAAATTGATACTAAAACACCTTTACAACAACCGAGCACAATAAACCACTTGAAAAACCCACTCAGGGCAGCCAGTTGTTAAGGGAAAGCTTGCCTGAAGAGGAATGTCTTGGCCTGCTTGCGGCAGGAGAGCAAAGATGGGGCCAACCTAACCTCCAGTGGCAGGGAGTTCCAGAGTCTAAAGGAGCAGCAACAGAGAAGGTCCTCTCCTGGGTCCCCCACCAAGGGCACCTGTGGAGGTGGCGAGTTCGAGATAAAGGCTTCCCGGAGGATCTTAACATTTGGGCAGGGTCCTAAAGGGAGACACAGTCCTTGAGATCACATGGACCCCAGCCGTTTACGGTTTTATAGGTTCGAAGCAGCCCTTTGCATGGTGCCCGTTAACGGATCGGCACCCAGTGTACAGGTTTGTCTTTTATTTTTGGACTAAAGCTGGAATTTGGGGAGTTGCTCCCGAAAAAATACAAACCTGCATGCTTCTAGTTCAGTGGTCCCTGGACTACGACTCCCAGAAGCCTTTTCACCACTAGCTGTGCTGGCCAGGATTTCTGGAATTTGGAGTCCAAGAACCATCTGGGGACCCAACGTTGGGCACCACTGTTCTTGTGACATCTGTGCTGCCTGTTCGGCCATCTTTCCTCAGCATCTCTCATGGTCCCACCCCTTTGGGAGGAACAAGGCTGAGGAAGGGATTAAGAACAAGAGACAACCTTCTCTTGTACAGTGGTGCCTCACTAGATGATGATAATCCGTTCCACTGAAATCGCTGTTTAGCGAAATCATTGTCTAGCGAAAAGCATTTCCCCATTGGAATACAGTGAAACCTTTTTAATGCGTTCCAATGGGGAAGAATCGTCGTTGTCTAGCGAAGATCGGCCACATTTGTATAACAGTAGAGGTTACTTTCTCTCCTAAAGGGCCTGTTTCTCATCCATAAATACTGTCCTTCTGGAAGCCGGCAAAGACCTTTCTCTTCAGGCAAGCTTTCCCTCTGTGACTGGTGGCCAGAATGGGGTTTTTAATGGAGGGTTTGGCCTTACTGTTTTGAATCTGCCTGGTGTTGCTTTTGTTTACCATTTTTAATGGGAGATTGGTTTGATCTTTTTTAGTATTTTTATACTTCAGTCGTTTTAGCTTTAAATACAGTCTTTTAATGATAGAAGCCACCTTGGGGGTCCTTTTCAAGGCGGGGCGAAAATATTTAAAACAAGCAAATAATAAAACGTCCATAGTCTTTAAAAGATGGTTACGCTGATTGCAGCAAGAGTCCAAAACACCGAGAAGGTGGAAGACTGCTCTAAACCACTACAACGCTTTCCAAAACGTAACATCACATCGTCCATAGTGGGTGCTTTTGGCACAGGGCTATGCAAACCAGCGTTTGAAGGTCGTTTCAAGAGGAGAACTCACCATGCCAGGGCGGTGGGACCCACTTTGCTGTCTCTTTCGAAGGGTACATGACAGCGCCCGAGTACTGCTCGACAAAGTCGACATCCGGTTGCCACTGTTTTCCTCTGAAATAAGGAAGGGGGGAGGAATTCAGATCTGCAATATACTGTTTTCCTCTGAAATAAGGAAGGGGGGGGGGAATTCAGATCTGCAATACAGTGGTGCCTCGCTTAATGGCAATAATCCGTTCCAGGAAAATCGCCGCTAAGCGAAAACATTGTATAGCGAAAATAAAAAGCCCACTGAAACGCATTGAAAACCTTTCAATGCATTCCAATGGGCTTAAAACTCACTGTCCAGTGAGGATCCTCCATACGGCGGCCATTTTCGCTGCCTGTATAGTGCGGAATCCGTCCCTAAACACAGCGGGGAGCCATTTTATTTACCCGGTGGCTATTTTGAAACTGCCGATCAGCTGATGAAAAATCATTTTGCGAAGAATCAATTCTTGAAGCAGGGAACCGATCATTGCAAAGCAAAATTCTCCAATTTAGGCCACCGTTTTGCGATCGCAAAAAGATCGTTGTAAAGCGGATTCATCATAATGCGGGGCAATCGTAAAGCGAGGCACCACTGTAAACTGAATAGTGAGAACACCAAGTGTCATTCTGGAGCCCATACAGACCACAAGCTACCTTGAGCCACCATAGGTCGCCTCATCGGGAAAAAGGCAGGCTATAAATAAAACAAACAACTAAGAGAAAACAAATAAACCTGTCCATGTTTCACAGCAAAGCACCGGGCCTTTCGGGACATCTGCATAGAAACAGGGCCGCCTTGAAAAGCAACCCTTTTAAGAGAAGTTCAACAGGTAGAGCCTCATTCATCACTCAAAAGCCTCCACAGTGGGAAACACTGTCGGGTGAACAACCGTATTGAGAGGAAGAAAGCCTAACTTGACGGCTCCCTCAGCCTTTGTTTTTCCAAAAACGGCACTACAGTTTCCAGACGCCTTTGCCCCTGGCCAGGTGGGCAAAATTGTCAGGGATCCAGAGACCAAAAGATCAGGAGGGATAAAGGTTTGTCAAGCCATGTTCGAATCTTAGATTCTAAAGCAAACAGCCCCTACGACAAAATATATTTAATTTTGTTTTTTTATAAAGGAGAGAGAACAGCACAATCAAGTAAGTATCTATAGTATTACAGTAGGGACAGAAAGAGAGCAGGATTTTCCTTAGGTGTGTTTTATGCTGTCAAAGCAGAACCACCTTATAGCGACCCTAATAGGGCTTCCAAGGTGAGGAAGATATTTAAAGTTTTATCCATTCAGTGAGTTTCCATGGTTCAGTGGGATTCGAACCCAGTTCTCCAGAGTCCTAATCATTTTGCCCGCTACACCACACTGGAGATTGCAGCTAGCATGTTGGTGCAATATATGTGTTTATCATCTCAGAATAAAGCAAGAAGCTGACACTTTAAAACAAATACTTCCTGCCCCTGCAGGAACTGGTTTTTTTTTTTGGGGGGGGGGAAGCAAAGCAAAAACAGAAGTAAAGAAGAGTGTTTCTTATAAGCTTCCAGATTTATTGCAATGAAATCTCTTACAGGCTAGGCTAGAGACCCCTTTCCAGCTGCAGAAAATGTTATCCTCCGTCAGCAACTGTGTATAACGCATCGACAGAAGGTGATCAACTAATTTTGTAAATCGCCCTGAGTCGCGCATTCCACTAAATCAGGATGGTCTGTAAGCTCTATAAATAAATAAACAAACAAGTAAATAAATCAGCAAACAAACTAATGCTGACTGTCAGGACCGTTTACAGCAACAGCTGCTGGTGCCGTAAACACATCAAAAGGGCCAAAGCCTCTTGTAGCTCTTTAATGATGAAGTACTACATATAATGTAATTTTTACAAAAAATATTAAAACTTCTTTGCACTGCCCTCAGCCTTCTCAAAGCCATCATCCTCTCTGGAAGGATACAGTGAATGAAGGTAAAGGGTAGTGAGAAAAGGGGATGGAATACAGGTTGGGTAGAGAAAAAGCAGGCATAGAATTTAGACCATTATTATTATTATTACTTTTATTACTGTCATCATCATCATCCCACTTTTCTCCCCTAGTCGGCATCATGCAATTAAAATTAAAGGGGGGGGGACAAATAGATTAAAATGTCAAGGCACGTTAAAAGAGTATTTTAAAATGTATGCCTTTTAAGAGACTTTCTCTTGGGGGGGGTGTTAGTAACCATGGGGCTGTCAAGAGGACTAGGATCTTGACATTGCTCTCAAAATCACTCAGGAGTGAGAGAGAAGGTACCAGGCACGGAGAACAGGGACGAGAGAGAAAATAAATATACGTTTCCAACTTGGTGCAAGGGAGGCGGGGGAGGGACGTTACCTGGCGGGCGCTGCCCCCAGCGCCATGCCCTGCATCCAGGATGACCCTGAAGGCGCCCTCAACCTCCACAGGCACCTGAGCGCCGCCATCTTCCCTGGAGCCGCAGCGCTGGCCAAGAATGATCCCATATGCGCATGCTCGCCTTTCTCTTAAGGGTTCCGGAGCCGCCATTCTTAGTAAGGGCAAGGATAAGCCCCTCCCTCTCTCTGCGCCATTACCGGAGACGTCAACAAGGGAGAGCTCAAGAGTTACAAGTATGGGCAGCCGGCTTCAACCTGAGGCGGGGAGCGCACATGCGCAATTGATACCGCGGTCCCGGCTTGAGGAGGCGAGGAAAGCGCTCGCCTTCGGTTCCTGCGCATGCTCGCCACCGCTGGCACAGAGGCTGGACTTGCAAAGTCTTAAGAGTCGGAGGGCAAACGGCCTCCCGCGCATGCTCAATGAAGGCGGGAGAAGTCCCTCTCTATGGTGCTGGCTCATACCGGAAGTGACGTCTAATCGCGGCCCAGGAAGACCTTTCCGCCTCTCGTTGCGACTGGAGTGGGACGTTGTGACCTTCTTGGAAGACGGTGAACGGGTGGGTACCCGGAGGGGAGGGAGGGAGAATGGTTTTACTGGGCCTTGTACTGGTGGGAACTGGGAGGGAGTTGATTTAAAGCCTTGGAGCCCCAGGGAGGCTCCTCTCTGGTGCAAGGGAAGGAACAGGACCTATGGGGCCGGTTAAACCAGGAATTCCTACAAGAGGAGCCACTACCCCAACTTATTTCCTTCTGGGACAACAAGCACCATCATCCCCAGTCAGCGTATGCACGGCACCCGGAAATCCGGCCTATATACCACTAAGCTCCAGCCGTCCCTCCCTTTGCTGGCTTCAGCTGCTGCTGCTGCAGGGTATGGTGACTGGTTATAGAAGGGGGGGGTGATGGTTGGTGGCCAAATGGAGCAATTAATCCCCCAGGGTAGGTTCGTTTTATTCCCTCAAAAGGTGTGATACAATTATTGTCTGCTTCGGAGACTTATCCAGTAGGACCACCGTATCCGTGGAATCAGTATCCACGGATTCACTGATCCGCTGGCTGAACATCCTACCTTTAAAAAAAGAGGAAATACCTATTGATACGTTTCCCATTCTTTATTTACCAGAACTGGGTACTAGAGGGAACCAAAGACCATGCCATGTACAGCGTTTGATACTTCCACGTTTTTCAGCACCTCCCTGGGCAGGGGAGGTTCATGCGTGGTCTCGAAATGCAGAACACTCCTTTCCAAGATATATTTCTGCACTTAGAGGCTCCTGCTATCTTCCTGGTATAATCAGACCCTGCTCTGAGCTTAGCGTCACCTCTGTGTGATGCTGTTGATTTGTGAGCAATTTATTATTGTTGTTATTATTAAAGTTAGTTTTAGGATTTAAGGATCGGCTTAATTTTTGGGATCACGTCACGGATGCGATAATGTTGAAAGTGAAGGCATTTAGCAGCATTTGCAATAAGGCTGCGCACGATGCAGTCTAGATCACAAGCTGACAGCCCTAGGAACTTCTGGGGGGGGGAGTCTTGCAGACTTGAAAAAAAAGGTCAGAAGTTGCACTAGGAAGTAGTTAGAATGTCACTTCCTGTTTTGAAAAATGGATGTTTTGCATGATTCAGCCGTGTAAAGAGCCCATGGCCTGTTCAAAAAGATGAAACACCTGAAGGCTTTCGGGAGCAGTAATTCAACTTACTTTGACCAAAAAATGGTGAGACTTTGGGATTTGATTTAAATCATGATGTAAATAGTTTTTTTTAACATTGATTTTTATCCACCCTGTTTTGGAGGGTAGGAGAGAGTTAAAAAACATCCAGAGGGGACATATGCTGTCACGGCTAAGCTCACACCCACCTGTTAAGATAGTGTTGTGCCATTAGTTTCAAAATATTTGCCTTCTTGCCTAAAACTGTGCAAAAGGAGTTGAAGACTAGGAAATGAGGTATTTTTATGGCTAACTCTTATCCAAATGGATATTTGAGCTGAATCTGTTGGTAAAGTACATGTGATCCTAAGGAAAGCTGATGTTATAAAAGTACATGTGATCCTAAGGAAAGCTGATATGTTCCATCAAGTTGCCTCTGCCTTATAGTGTCCCTATGAATGAGCAATCTCAAAAATGTCCTCAACAGCCCTGCTCAGCTCCTATGGTGGGCTTGTGGCTTCCTGTAGAAAATGAGTCCATCTTGTATTTGGCCTTCCTCTTTTCTTGCTGCCTTCCACCTTTCCAAACACTATTGTCTTTTCCAGAGAATCCTGCCTTCTCACAAAGTGCCCAAAGTAGGACCACAGCCTCAGTTGCAACATTTTTGCTTCCAGAGATAATTCAGGCTTGATTTGATTTATGACCCACTTCTCTGTCTTTCTGGCAATCCAGGATACCTGCAAAGCTGATAGTAATGTGTTTATTTTGAGGATGGGAAGCAAGGTATTTCCCTTAATCTAAATTCCAAGAATGAGCCATTGCAAAGTTGTTTCAGGTAGGGCTGCCCCTTTAGAAACTTTCTTAGTGAGGATAAGCCTGCCCTAGAAAAATGTTTCCTAATTCTGTTTTTTTTTTTAAATCAGTGCCTTTTCTTTTTCCAGAGTAATCTGCCAACATGGGTAGGACGTTTGGACAATTGGCACGGATGAGACACATAGTCACCTACAAGTTGTCTCCATTTGAACAAAAAATGTTTCCAAACTCCTTATTGTCCGAAGCGCTCAATTTTTGGCGGCGGTTTTCCTCACAGGCCTTACGTGTGGCACCTCGTAAGTAAAAATCATCTGGTACATCCTTCCATATCTTACCTTGCTGTTTGAGGACTAGCAACTTGAGCCTCTGGGGTTAGTGGGCATTTTTTTTTCAAAGCTGTGGGCGAGAAAAAGTAGGAGTATGAACTGCAGACTTCCTGGGGTAGCAGGGAAAAGAGGTAGCAATTTCATCTGACTTTCTCCTGAATTTCTATCAGCTTGGAAACGGGACGTTGAATCTCAGGTCTGGATTACTGTAGATTTAGCTGTTCAGAAAAGATGACTCCTACTTCTCACTGAAAGCGCTAGATGGGGCAAGAGAGCAGAGGAAGTGAACATCTCTTTTCATCCATAGGCACTGACATTAGGCGGCTACTCCCTCCCATATGGTTCGTGATTTGTTTAATTGCATTGTGAAGTACCCTGGATTATGAAGGACAGCATAAATAAATGCCTTATGTTTATTTTGTTGATCATCTGTTCTTCATAACACTAACCTCAATGTGGTTTATAGTGCAATTGATTTTTTTAAAAAATATGAAATATACGTAGTATTTAAATACTATAAAATAATTGAAATGTGTATCAGTTAAATTGGATACATGTGCAAATAGAAGTGGTGGGTTTTTGCAGCTGTTGTGTGTTGGAAGATGAGCCAACCACATCTGTACAACCTCCTTCTGGCCCTGGATCTTTCTGTAATTATAAAGGCTTGCTGCCGGCTCATCACCTGAAGGGTTGAGGAGGACACCCAGCATTTATCTCATTCATTCCCGCAAACTCATCACCCTTCACACGCTGGTAGTGTACACTAATTCTTGTAACTGCGGGTGGTAAGTGTTGAGGCTTTGTGATGATTAGGAAAGTGCTACCACTCATGTTGATGGCATTTTAAATTGTTATCAGAAGGGTGTTTTTTTTTCCAGTTTAGTAAAAGACTCAAGAGAAACAACAAAGGAAGAGGAAGGAAGGGAAGTGAGGAGGGAACCAGGAACAGCCTTAAAAAATTTTGTTGCCTGGGACCAAATGGTAACCTCTCAAAATCAAGGTGTGCCATACCTTAGGAAGTGGTTCCCCTAGGTTTTCATATCTTTCATCTTGCCAGTTACTCCATCAAAACCTGGATCTGATGTGATAGAAACAAAAAGCCCTGAATGATATTTAGGATTTAATTTAATTCCTTTATTGCAATCAACAGATCAGGTCATATTTAAAATGTTTACAGATCTGCTCCCGTAGTTGAGGATGATAACAACAACGTTTGAACTGCAGAGCTGATAGGGACCCTATTGTCCTTTTCTCTTTTTTCTGAGACATTCATTAGGCATCCTTCAGACTATGGTCACGTGCTCTGTATGGAGGACTTGGAACAAATGTTGCAGGATTGGTACCTGGCCATGTGAAGAAACATATCAGGAGAGACGCACCTCTTTCTCTTACCATCAAATCCGACAGTACACATTTTTTTGAACTGGAGCTTGTTCGTCTTCCAACTCATTCATTCACAAATATCAAATCAGATACAAAACAGTCACATATAGAAGATGGCAAATGAACTATTCATTAACTAGATCTACAAATTCGTTGTGTTTCAGTCTACGGCTCTTCACTATCAGATATCCCTTGTAGTGACTTTCAGTCACCATTTACTCATAATACGACCGCAAAACTAATTAGAAGCTTTTCAAATTAAGCAACAGCATAACCATATTCTAAATGCTGGATAACTCAATGATTTAGGTCTCTGGCTGTGGAGGCAGAGGTTGGGAGTTTGATTCCTGACGGTGCTTTCCTCACAGACTTGATGATCCGTGTGTAGGCAGAGGTTGGGAGTTTGATTCCTGATGGTGCTTTCTTCACAGACTTGATGATCCGTAGGGTCCTTTCCAGCTCTGCAGTTCTAAGGTGGTGATGGTGGTTATTATCATCATCGTTGTCATATCGGAATAGCATAAATAGGTATTACACTTCTGGTAAACAAGTGTGTGCTTTTTGGAAAGGAAAATCACACAATTAATTGTGGCTCTTTCCAAACAGTGATGGAAATCAGATCAAATTTAAAACGAAGTCAAATCCATCCTGCTGTTTCAATATAGCTGTGTATCTAATTTTTGTCATTTCTTTTTTTTACTCTCTTAAGCATTTATCGTCTGGTATTTAGTTTGCTCCTGGGGAACAGAAGAATATGAACGCTCTGTCAGAAAGAACCCGGCTGACTATGCAAATGACAAGTAAAATGCTCCAAATGAAGGAAACGCTTTCTGGCGCTCATTCTTCTTGCTCTATTTGTTGACCTACTATTTCAAATATAAGAACGCTTGGGTCATCTTCAGTAAATCTCTTTCTGCTCAAGCTTTGAGTGTCATTCTTATGCTTTGTCAAAGGAATGGCGAAAAAGAGGGTAAATTGGTGCATTTTGTTGTTTCCTTGTGTGTGCTTTTGTTTTAATTTGTGTGTGTGTGTGTTTATTTTAATTAAATACCGTATTTTTCGCTCCATAAGACGCACCAATTTTTTAGGAGAAGAAAACAGGAAAATATAATCTGTTTTCTTTGCTCCATAAGACACACAGACTTTCCACCCCCGTTTTGTGGGGGGGAAAAGTATGTCTTATGGTGTGAAAAATACGGTATTTACATTCTGGTTTTTGGCCCTGAAAGGTGACTTATAGCGCACCAAATTAAACTCACCAAAGCCAATCATGGACAGAGATAGTAAAAACTACAGCAGGGAAACCTAATAGCAGCATACCAAAGCAGGAAAGTGTCAGAAATTATCTAATTCCTGCATTGAGCAGGGAGTTGAATAAATGGCCTTATAGACCTCTTTGAACCTTATGATTCTGTGGTTATGAGACAGAAGGCTCTTTTGCATGTGGGTAAATTTTTGTACACAAAGAGCCAAAAGACTTCTTGGGGTGAAGAACTCCACACCTTGAGGTTATAAATTAAATGTTCCTGCCCTGTATTCTCTCCTTCACAATAACTGGCCGGACAAAATCATGTTTATTTGTCTAACCTTAGATCCTGCAGCTAAACAAGAAGGCCTACAGCAACGGTAGCATTTGAACTCAGCACTGAGGTGGAACGTCCCCAAGCTGTTTTTTGGCCCATTTTGTACATTATGTTGAGCTGACGGCATTCCTCTTGGGCCAGATTCGAACCTGAGAATAGTTTTAGATGTTAAAGCTAAAGATGTGCGGCGGTCACTGTGGTGAAACAGGAGGAAGTTGGGTAGGAAGTATTTACACAAGAGTAGGCAAGTGTTCCTTGCATGTTTTCCGCCTGATTTCAATGAAAAGGGGGAGAAAGTGGGTGCTGTTTGCAGTAGGTATATTGACAGTAAACCAGGATTCCAGTGAACCTTGGGTTATAATACATTGCCTCCAGCTCTGGCTACTGAAAATAGATGATTTAGCCTGTATTTCAAACCAGGGATCGTGGTGGAGTCAAAACTGGAGTCAAAACTCAAAAACCAAACAATATTTTTCAGTTCTGAGTTTCTAAGAAGGGCGACTCTTGGGAAGCCCTAATGTGTGTGTGTGTGTGTGTGTGGAGGGGGGAATGTATTTTTTTTTTAAAAAAAACGGATTATGCTGGCAGAGAGAGGCAAAACCAGGCCTTGTACATAACAAGGTGGGGTTTTGTCAAAGAGGAACGGGACTGTTAGGGCCCCGAAGTGCTTTGATTTGTATAGTCGTGAAGCTGTCAAAAGGGTTTCACACAACTTAATACAAATCCTCCTCCACCTTGAGTTTGGAAGTTTTAAAAACTTTCTGTGGACACGGCAACCGTGCCTTTTACAGTTTGTTGTACGAAACCACCACCTTCCAGTATAGGATTAAAATCCAAAATTGGGCTTTCGGGGAAGAGACTGGGGTAACGGCGGCATCATTATGTCACCCGTATGAGGGAGATCTTGAGGGAAACTAGGGTCACCCTAATAATGTGCAAAGGGCCTCTGCTTATAAGGTCCCCTTGTGTGCTGGCAGGCGTGCATCGCTGTTGTATTGGGAAATGGCCACACAACTGTCCATTCACACATTCCTGTCATCTGCAATGAGGCATCTCTTCCATCCAGGTGAATGCAGACTTTCAAAAAAACCTCCCTATTTAGATGGAACTCAACATCTACTCGAATGTCATAGTCACCTAATCATTCATCACAGCTATTTTCATCCTGTTTGTACCTCTGGCCTTTCTTTTGCACCTTTCCTAGTAGGAGGATGAAGGGTTGCTATTTGGAAGGGACTTTAGAGTACACTGATAATTTTTGTTTCTGTCCATGGAGTCTTCTTGGCAAACATACTGGAATGGCTTGCCAGTTCCTGCTCCAGGTGGATCGCATTTAGTCAGAACTCTCCACTATGACTTGTCCATCTTGGGTGGCCCTGCACGGCATAGAACGTCGCTTCCCTGAATGACTTGAGCCCCTTCGCCACGACAAGGAAGCAATCTGTGAAGGAGGTTTGTCCTGGAAAAGACCCTGATGCTGGGAAAGTGTGAAGGCAAGAGGAGAAAGGGGACGATGGAGGATGAGATGGTTGGACAGGGTCATTGAAGCGACCAACATGACTTTGACCCAACTCCGGGAGGCCGTGGAAGACAGGAGGGCCTTGACGTGCTCTGGTCTGTGGGGTCACGAAGAGTCAGACACAACGACTAAACAACAACAAACTTTGTCCCAAGATATATAGTGGATCTGGAAGCAGTTGTCTTTCTTCATTGACCATAAAAAAATAGTTATGTAGAGTAAAGCCGCCTAGAGTGGTCGAAATGACTAGATCGGCGGGATATAAATACAATAAATAAATAAAAATAAAAAATAAAGCTTATTGTGCTGCATCTAAGATCCTGATAAGACTTCTGCACAACCAGTTCCCCCAATTTCTCCAGAGGCGGTGGTGGTTGTTCGTCACTGAGGTAGAAGTAATATGCAGATATATTAAGTAATATAAACAGTATATGGACCATGTGCTATAAAACAACATATACATATAAATTTGCACCTATTTATACATTTTCTTCTGAGAATGACTGACAGAAATATTTAAGCTTCATCTGCCAGCCACTCGAGGTGTGTTTGTGTGTCTGTGTCGGTCAGTGTGCTTTCGTCCTCATGATGTGTTGATTGAGACGCGGGTGGGTCATGAGAACTAAACAGCCCTTCAATCCACCTTTTAAATGTGTGTTCGTCACTGTTCTAAGTGTGTAGATACACGTGTACACACAAGTCGGGTCTGATATATATATGTATGTATGTGTATGTGTGTATACACAGATATATACATATATGCAATTTAGGTTGCGCATAAGCTGTGGTGAAGGTGACCACAGCGACCGCTCAGGGAGCGCGCGCGCCTTTTTTGGGGGGCGGGAGAGCGCGCACGAGAGAGAAAAAGGCGGCGAGTTCTGAAGGGGCGGGAGGCCAAAGCGCCGCGCTCGAGGCAAGAGGCCCTCCGGCCAATCAGCGCCCGAGCCCGCCGCCCGGCCGTCCAACCAGCGAGGCGTCGCGCGCCCGCTTTCTGCC